CCTCCCAAGTAGCTGGGACCACAGGCGCCCGCCACAACGCCCGGCTGTTTTTTGGTTGCAGCCGTCATTGTTGCTTGGCGGGTCTGGGGGTGGCGGGCGCCTTAGCCGGTTGAGCTACAGGCGCCGAGCCATTCTAACCATTTTTTAAAATTTCAATAAGAAGTATTAACACATGAATGTAATATAGATGATACAGCAAAAGATTTTTATTTTTGTGCCCAGTTAACATAAGACTTATTTCTAGGAATTGGGATATTATATGCATGGTCAGATATAGAAAAATAAATTCTAAATATTATTTTCATCTTCTAAATTTACATTCTTTGAAAGATTTCATAATAATGTCTATACCTTAGTTTAAGGCTTTCAGAGAGTCTTTCAGCTTCTTCAATAGCTTTTTTGATGTTTGCAGGTCCAAGCATTGAATGAAAATAGTCCTAAAATTATAGGAAAACCGTCCCATACTGTTAGTACTGAGCATTGCACATAGCACTAAAGCTGAAAACATTAAAATCATGGTGCTCATATAAAAGAAAGTTTGATTATGAATTAAGTATTTTTTAAACTTTTAACCTATGCTAATGGACAATTTATTCCCCAAATGTTTTAAAAGTATCTCTTCAGACCATTAGTATAATTTTTAAAACCCACTAATTAATAAATTTTATTTATTTATAAGGCACTATTAAGAAATGTAAATGCTATTCTTACTGTTTATAAGAGCCAAAAAGCAAAGTTTTCAAGAGTAAAATATATTTTCTTATTACAAATATGTACCTATTTTCTCTAGTCTCAAAAACAATAAAGCAAATTGTGTAGAGATACATTACACTTGTTTTGTTTACTTGTTTTAAAATATTTTTGCTTTCATCTGTACTTTAAAATACCTATCCATGTCAAACTACTCATGAACCATTAAACAAGTTTTACACTTAAAGAAACTCCAAATAACCAAAAACCAAATGACAAAAAATAAACCATCAGGCTTGGTTCCCGTAGCACAGTGGTATGGCACCAGCCACATACACCAGGGCTAGCAGGTTCGAACCCAGCCCAGGCCAGCTGAACAACAACTGCAACAAAATATAGCTGGGTGTTGTGGCAGGCGCCTGTAATCCCAGCTACTTGGGAGGCTGAGGCAAGAGAATAGCTTAGGCCCAAAGTCGGAGGTTGCTGAGAGCTATGACACAGCACTTTACCAAGGATAACATAGGGAGACTCTGTCTCAAAAAACAAAACAAAATTAAAAAACCAGGAATAACTATCACTAGTATGCCTTTTAAAAAATACAAAGGTTGGCTCAGTGCCTGTGGCTTAAACTGGCTAAGGCGCCAGCCACATACACCTAAGGTGGTGGGTTTGAATCCAGCCTGGGCCCACCAAACAATAATGACAGCTGCAACCAAAAAATAGCCGGGCGTTGTGGCAGGCGCCTGTGGTCCCAGCTACTTGGGAGGCTGAGGCAGGAGAATCGCTTGGATAATTTACTAACAAGCATAATGAAGTTATTTTTTAAAATCACTTCTCCACGAGGTCATTCATTAGATCCCACAATCAGCTATTTTCAAGTCAAAGTTGGTTTGACATGATGGTACTTAATTAAATCAGCTAAATACTGGGTTTGATTTGCCATAATATGTCAATATGATTTTCCAATTAGAGCCTGCTACCACAGTTCATGAGAAATTATAGTTTTAAAATTATAATAATGAAAATTTGTAAGAAGAAGAGCCAGTGACCAGAAATACCCATCTTAGGCTATTTGAGAGGCAGTCATGAACAGATGGCACTGATGGAGCAAATCAGTTGGTAACCATTATCATATCTGGCCTAAAAGTAGATCACACTTCAGCTAAGTTTGTTTTTCTAAAGCCTAACTATGTTAGAAGGGCCCTTTATTATCTAATTCCAATAAAAGTGTACAGTTTGTTCAATAATTTATCTACTAAACATTATAGTGCTCTCAGTTACCACAATATCCTGACTACTGAGGTAATACTCCTCTAACAGAAAACATGATGTAACCAGTGTTGTTAATTTCTTTTTTTCTTTCTTTTGAGACAGATTCTCACTTTGTCACCCTGGGTAGAGTGCCATGGTGCCACAGCTCACAAAAACCTCAAACTCTTGGGCTTAAGCAATTCTCTTGCCTTAGCCTTCCAAGTAGCTGGGACTACAGATACCTGCCACAACACCTGGCTACTTTTTAGAGACAAGGTCTTGCTCCGGCTCAGGCTGGTCTGGAACCTCTGAGCTCAGGCACTCCACCCGCCTAGACCTCCCAAGTACTGGGATTAGAGGCATGAGCCACTGGACCCAGCCTTGTTGTTAATTTCTGATAAAAATAAAACACAAAGTAAAAACCAAAACCACTATATCTTGTTTTATTCATTTTTACACAAGAACTCATTAAAAGGCCAGCCTGTAAGCCCAGCGTAGCCCTATTTAAATAAGTCAAAAACACTGTGTTTGGGGATACCTGTTACACACTAACAGGAGACAGATATCCCCTTAATATTAGTGAAGTTTCCTATTGTTTGTCTTTCTGTGCTCTTAAAGGAGCACAGTTAAAGGCAGTATAAATACTTTCAAATTTTCTTTTCTTTCCTTTTTTTTTTTTTTTT